GTTCACTTGGAATCACTGGGAGAAAAGCCTCGTATGGCCGCGCGTCTCCCAATACGATCTGCTCGGTGGCTTCTTTGAATTGGCAAAGTGGCATCTTAAGGGGAGTCGATGCTGCCAGCAGAACATGTCGTCGGATGGGATAGAAAGAGGGGATGAAACAGATGCCGCTCATGGATCCCCCTGCAAAGGACCATGTGGGATTCAAGCTGCTGCTCAGAGAAAACGAGGGGCGTCCATGCCAAGGTTGTCACTTTTCTTTTCCACTGTGACGGATGTTTCATCCGTTGCCCAGCGGAGACCGGCTCCATCTGCAGTGCACAGTTCACAAACGCCCAACAAGCGGAAAATCCTCAGATATCAGATGAGCGATTTTTGGGGGATCAAGCTGCTGTGTTTGGGACGACATCGTGTTCCAGTCGTCTCTATAAAAATCAGTCGGCTGTAATCTCGCATACAAGACTCAGTTAAATGAGTGACATGGTACATCATCAAGAATAATTTGAGGGCAGCATATTACCAGTACTATAATAGGTTTGATAATAATCAGTGCAGACGTGATGTTAAGTGAATTAACTGCACTATTAAGGCAAGATTCAATGAGCCGGTCAGATTGAATTGCCGTTTTATTTCACTTTATGTGTTCATGTTTGAGACGGGTGGATATTTATCCCTAATCGTGCCCTAATGCTTAATAAATGACACTGCAAGTCTACTTTTCCGCTTTTTTACATGAACAACACAAATGAATATGCTGCTTTTCTGTTCTGTAATGACCAGCTGGGCAAATGTCACCCGGGATTGTCTTCTTTTTACAGCGATGTTTCTCGCTTTATGCTTACCAAAGTTCCCAAGAAAAGTATGTTCTTATACTTGAACCTATTTTGAAAAACAAAAGCAATTCGCAAGCACATTATAGTTGCTGCCAGGAATAGATGCAAAAATGCATCCAAATAGCCAAAACTGTACAGCACGTTTTTCAGTCCTCATGATGTGAAAAAAACATGAACACTTGTATGGTTCTTCAATTGTGCACCCTGTGGTTTACTTTGCAGTGTTTGGAGAGTTATTGTAACGTGAGCCTGGCAGTCTGTGTGGGGCAGTGTAAGGTCACACTGGAACATTTGACCCTTGACCCGACGAGGTCTGCGGCTATTTGTTCTTACTGCTGACCACATCCAGCGTGCCAGCGATGCTAAACCTCAAAGCTGTCGGCTCAGTTTCCAAGTCACTTCCAGTGTATCTGAAAATAGAGTTTTGTTAGGGATTTAAGCCAGAAGTGCACCCCTAGTCAGGGAATTATAGTACGTGTAATAATGTTTAGTGTTAGAATTATAGTTTGTGTGATGTTAGATATTAGTTATTACATTAACATGTTAGATGAAGTGAATACAATGTGAATCAAACACAATTCATAGTCATTTAAATCATATAAACACTGCACACATTAACATTCTGTTACAATGTGATGTTAAAACCTGGGGACGGATGCTAATTGCCGTTCTTTATGGATTTCTCCCAATTTTATCCCCAAAAAGGGTTTTTTGGGAGTTTTTTCTCCTGTCAGGTAATAAAATGAACAACTTATTTCAAGGCAGCCGACTGAGGCAAATGTCTTGAGAATTGAACCACATGAACTGTTTTAGATCTTATGATGAAGTGTGATGAACGGTGATCATTAGTGATGGGTTGTTGTAATGAAAGTGTACTAGTTATAAGATGAAGACTTAAACGATGTATGCTTTGTTAAATTCACTCATTGAGGCATAAAGCCACTGTATCTACATTGAGTGCATTGGAATGTGAGGGACAGATAGTACAGTGAGGTTTCAGGTTACAGCTGCAGCTTCACACCTCGACGTGAAGGGGACAATGGAGGAGGTGACCCTTTGGAGAAGAGGCCAATGACATTCAAATGCACCAAAGAAGACACACCTCAAGAGTTTTCAAAGGACCAAAGCGGGGAAAAGACTGTTAGAACTTCTCCTGCAGCCGCGTTGATAAGTCACTTCAGACTTGCTCAGAGGATTCTCTATTTCGCGAAATATTCCACTGTTCGCTTAGTATTTCACTTTGTAATTGTAATCCCTATTACGTTGTTCAGTTATTAAATAACTTTTGATTTTTGAATTTAAACGAATTGACTCATTCGTGTCCTCGTTTCCGGCCGGGACGAGAACAGAGGATTGAGTCCTCCCTCGAGAGCTTCCGAAACCTTAACAGTTTGTCAACAAGCTGTTAGCTCCACTTTGTACCGGCTCCTTAGAAGTCCCAAGGATATAATGGTAACAATGAAATATTTTTAAGCTCATGCATGACTCATTATTCGCAGCAAAGAGTCACCAAGTAAAGCCTTTCCGGCCTGCTCGCTACAAACGCTGACGCGTCTCCGAGTCATCTCGTCTAAATGCAGGGTTCACACCTGCATTTCGGAGACCGAAGCCGTAAGTCAAACCTTTTGGTGTCATCCCACCGCTGGAGCCGATTTACACATGCATCACACTCCTCCATCCCTCTCACACCCGAGGCGCATTTCAAAAACACAACTGTCGGCTTGGAATTCAACACCAAAGCCAGCAGGCATGAGGTCATGAAATCTGGGAAAAATACAGTGCTCGTTCTTTGTTACCTTTAGGGTGCGGTGTCAGAGAACGACACGTAAAACAAAGCAGTGTAGTGGTATAACTTTAGGCCCGTTTGTTTGGTGGCTCCCTCGTGGCTCCTGCTCTCCAACCTGCCCTTCCTTCCCCTTCAGCTAAAATTGGCCTCGCTCAGAGTGGCAGCTGCAGGGTTTTGCGCGGGCGATCGTTGTGTTTGAGATGGCTTTTACGAAGCCTGTTTGTCATTATGAGACCGTGTGCGCAGAACCTGCTTTATTACGATGTTATTTGAAGAAATAACGGTGGATTTGTTGTTATCGGCTTTGGTGCGTGTCTTTGGAGCCTCCAAATGACATTTTGTTTCAGGTTATTGCTTTATCTGGCCAAAACAAATTGGATTTTTTGGGAGTGTTCTGCCACTAAGATCTGTTGTAGAATTTTTTAAGGGAATACCGATCGGGTTTTTTGGCCACTTGGGGGCAACAAGTTTTCATGAGAATAATGAGAAATAATCACCATATAAAGTTGTCGTGGAGAAAATGTAATGGTAAAGATGCTCATTGACATATGCAGCGGATAATGGAGTGGATCAATAATATATTTTGTTTTTCCTTAAAAAATCTGCTAAAAGTAGAAAAAACAAAACGACTAGCTTAGATTTGGGCCTATGGAGTCCTATTCCCTCCCAATAAATACATTAAAGTGGCGATAAATGCTGCATTATAATTCTGCCACTCATCACTCAAGCTTTTGCTGTCAGACTGGGGGGGTGGACTATCTGGAGTCTCTGCAAAATGAACGTCACACTTGGTGCTACAACTGTGGGCGGGAGAGTTGGCCGTGTCTTCCACCGGCTGCATGGAGCATTTATTTGCTTCCGCTGAGCATTTTCAGCCAGGAGGAAAATGGATTTGAATCCCAGACGATATTCACGCTATTCAAAGATGAGTACCGAGTACCCGAGTCATCCTGAGCCTCCTGAGCACAGCAGCACAGTGTTTGTGACGTCCTAAACCGTTTGTAACAGTAAAACAGGTTAATAAATCAAAACACATGCTTTATATTGAAAGGTCACGGTCATGTTTAGAAAAAAACCCATTGACTTCATTGGTGTGAAGCCGGGAATGGGGCAGAACGTGTCTGACATTTTACTGACATACAGTGATGCACACAGGGGCTAAAGGGGCTTTTTATATTCCCCCAAGACAACCGGCACACTGTTTCTGAAAGGGGTTGTCGCTATTGAATGTTTTTAATTGAGACTGTAAGCGCCACCAGAGGAATTCAAGCGTATCAACACATTAAATATAACAAGTATAACGGTCGGGTGAGATATATGGGTGTCTATAATTAACATCCCATGTGTCATGACCGCTACGCTTTTTATTGAACATTATTTACACTTTCTTCCTCTGAACGTGGCCCTGAGGACATTCGGACCAAACGGTGGCAACATGTACCGTTTTTGGTCAAAGAGGCATTCATTGCCATGTGTGCAGTCACTTCTTGTTTTTCGGCGAATGCTTTACAGCTTTATTGCCCTGTTGATTGCGGCCTCCAGGCGCTCCACGGCGCGTCCAGCAGCTCAGTCACAGAGGCCCCCTCTGTGTCACCCCTGGACAGAGACCCCATTTCTGTCCTTGACCAAAACAGCCCACCATTCATTTTTAATTAGGGGTGGAGGTGGGGGTGAGGGGAGGGTGGAGCAGACTAGCCGCTGGCCTGCTCCTTCTAAACAGGAGGGCCTTTTGGGTCCTGATAACCTTGGCCTTCCTCACCCAGCGGCCAATAACAGATAAACAACAACGGTGAATAGTCCGTATTTCACAGCCGGAATAGAGCACAGATTTATTCCTGAGTTCTGGTTGGCGTGTTTATTTCTCATCTAACAATACTTTCGGTGTGTACGAGGAAAAAACAACACAGCACACACCTGCATGCCTTGTAAAAAGTTCATTGAAGCAAGGCGTGTTCGGATGTGTGAGCTCAGTGCGTTTGCACGGCGAATGTATTTGTGGGAGGTATCGAGAGCTGCAATGAAGGCAGAGCGCTTGATCTCAGTAGACAGCAGAGGAGGAGCATTGATTTATTCATACTTGTTGGTATTTATTGCCCTCGCGTGCATATTGAATGCTTCATGAAAGCAGCTGCATGTCACGGACCCCTGACGTACGAAATGAAGAATCACCAATCAATTTAATTCCTTTGTTGGATTAAAATGGGAAGAAGATTTTGATAAGCCTCCATTCAACATTGATCCAAGACTGCCAGCAATTGTTTGTACACTTTGGAGCATTCAACCTCTAATTGCCTGTTATGTCCGGTTGGGCGGCATTGCTGCGGCCATGTTGTGGGGTAAGAAGGGGCAGGATGTGGACATCCAGTCCATCTTTCTTTCCTCCATTCAGCCGGTTGGCTTTATTAAAATATGTATATATATTTTTATTTATTTATTTATCTTTGAAAAGACTTGATTAAATTGCTGAAGTAGTTGGAGGCTTAAGTGCGAAAGAAGATTGAACTAAATTTAAAAATACTGAAGTAGAACCATTTCCCGCAGCAACAATTTCACCCCACTTATTTTATCTAATTAGATTAGACAGTGTCTTTGTCCTAATGATGTTCTGAGCTGATTCACACATTGTTTAGACTAGAAACCGCTGCGGGACCCTTTTTTTAAAAGTCGCTTTTTGCATTCCCAAGCAGGCGGCAGAATGAAGGCTGGAAAGGCTGACGTATTTGGGCCACAAAGTTCAGCCTTGAAATGGCACCAGTGCATTGCACTGAGTTTGTATGGTGGAGGTGGAATAATCGGGTTTAGTCTACTGTTCTTCTGTTTGTTCCGCAGGGCACAATGTGAATTATTAATGTAGCCTCTGAATAGAAATGCCAGTAAACAACTCACGGAAACGCCTGTATTTTTGGGAATAATGGGAAAGTTGCATGTGAGTGTTAAAAGGTGTAGCGTGTGCAAACAGGTGAGACCCTTTTAGACTGCAGATAATATTTCAAAATCAGATATAATACATTTAAGTGGTCCAGATTTCCCCAGCAGCTCAGAGTGTGTTAATCCCTCAGCTGATCCCTGCATAAGCTTCCCTGAAGCCACATGTCTGCCTCTATAAAGATGTTGCGACAATACATAATTCTGCACGTCATCTTGTCTCCAGACTCGTTGACCTTTGATGTGGAGGAAAGTAAACCGTAATTACGGACTCTCTGCAAGCCGCTCCCAGGACGCAGCCAATTACAGCTACTGAAGTCAGCCATATGTGGAAGGCACAGAGACGGGAGACAACCTGATTGTGCTAATCACGTGTACCTTCTCTGCCTAATTTAGAGATACAACGGGAAGCTCGGAGGCTTTTGTTCCCGGCATGTGCATTGCTGGGCTTATTATGTGATCTCAGAGGCCGTTGACGCCCCCGTGTACCTACTCAGCCGTGTGTTGGCGATGAGCAGAGCGCTTTCACCCAGAAAGGTTTTAGGGTAACGGTGCGAGGTATTGGAAGTGTTCACGAAATAAACGTTCAACCTGAATGTTGGGCTTGATTATTAAAGTGGAAATGACTTATTCTCAAGGGGAGATTGGAATCTTCATCAAAAACACCAAAGCCAGCTTCATGCTTGGACCAAAGTGGTGAAGAGGCCAACTGACTGGCAAACTGTCTACGCCAACACCAAAGAAAGTCACATTTGTCTTTCTCATGGCTATATTCCTATTTTAGAGATTAAGATTTTTTTTCCAATGAATAACATATGCGTGTTCCCAGAAAAGCATAATTCTGCAACAGTCCCTTCTCTCACAGTACTTATTAGTTTCTTTTGTTGCCAGTTGTCCGAGGTGGGGACTTTTCCCACCCTGGGGGGCGACACAATCAATGCTCCCTCAAGATTAAGTATCACAGCCTGATGATGTTACACCCCCCCATCCTGTGTTACTATGGTGTCATCCATAATTAAATCCAACAACAGTTTTCTCTTGGACATTTAAACATATGGCGAAGGATCCCCACCCATCACACACACAAGCCCCCCCGCTCCTCCTCCCCCTTTGGCCTCCCATCCTCACTCAGCCGGCTGACTCTCACCGTCCCTCTCACTTGCAATCTGCCTTCTTGCTCCTCTCATTGTTGGTCCGTTTACGCATGAGTGACCCCCCCCCCCACTCCAGGCCCACCAGCCTTCCCCTCCCTCCGCCAACGTTTGGGGATTACAGTCTAGACGGCCAACGCTGATTGGCTGTCACGCTGAGCGCTGTCCCCCCATTGGAGAGCGATACATATAGAGTCCGCCAGACAGATCCGTTTGAAAGGTGAGAGACGGTGACGAGCTGGCAGAGGTGTCGACCAACAGGGGGACAGACAGGGATACTCATTACTCTGTGGCAGTCTATAGAAGGTAAGGGTCCGGTTCCAATTCTAAAGATGTGATAGAATAACTTCATTTTCAGGTGACATTTCATGTTTTTTTTCCCGTTCTCATGATAGAGGCCTGTTTAATGTGTGATACACTGCATTCATGTTTAGTTATCTGTGTCGTTGCGGTTTAACGGACAGATCTTGACAGGCGGGTCGGTATGAAGGGAAAAGAAGCGTCGATCACACAACCAGTTCCCACAGACTGCGGCACGTTTTCAAAATTCCTGGCATGCTTCCTCTCACCTTCCCACAGACGTTTTATTCATTCAAAGAAAGGAGGCCTCAACGGAGGGATTTAGTCCTCAATCAGTTGCTTCATTGGAAAATGTGAGCATGTTTTTAGAGGGAGATAAACCCGCTGTTGTGTCAAGAGAACAACTGAAAAGGTCTGGGTCAAACGGGTTCAAGACTACAAGTTGAGACACGGGTCAGGATGCGGCCCGTGGGCGTTCTGTCTGCCCTCAGGACAAACGGTTAGTCTAGGATCACATGACATGGGCCCTTGAACAGATGAGAGCAGAGCGGAGAGGAGGAGGAGGAGGATGAAAGCAGAGCGTATCACTGCTGCACAGAAGGAAGCACGAGTGGTGACAAAGAGCCCAGAGCAAAGAGCAAATATGGATTAAAGTAAGTGGATGGGAAATGGAGATAGAAAAATGAGTCGAATAGAGAAAAGGCTTGTCTGTTTCACGGCTCTCATGGGTTGGATCCAGTCTCATGCTGAGGCCATATGGGACGCTGGACCGTCATCCCAAACTAGGTCACATAACCCATGACTAAACAAGGTGCCCAGCCTGAACAGACACTCAGGCAAACCGCAAGACTGTGTTTTCCCATGAAGACATGAATGTAATGCTTTTAATAATGCCAGTTGAAGGTATGTAATTGTGCAGCCGCTGACAAAAATGATGAAAAGAAGGGGGGGCAGCGAATGAACCTCCGGTGTGTCCTGAGGAGCGAAAGGAAGGAGTTGACGACCTCGACAAGGTCTTTTAAATTAAAGTGTATTTACATTTCTTCTTTGTCTCTCATCATGTCTTCTTCTCTCCGTCTCCCTGCAGCTGTGTATGAAAGAAGCCGGAGATGGCCTCCACGCTCAGATGAATTCAATGATGGGAGCCCTCCAGGAACTCAAGCTCCTTCAGGTTCAGACAGCGCTGGAAAACCTCGACGTTTCAGGTCGGCCTGTCAACCGAGGACTCGCACGTCCGGCTCCTCCCGCAGCGTCGGCCCCAGCGGCTTCCACCTCGTTCGAGGGTCAAGGGTCCTGCTTCGGACAGAGCGAGGGGCTCAGCCCGAGCCCGATGCAGAGCGCCAGCCCGTCTCTGGAGAGCAGAAACGCCTTCTGCCGAGGTGACAGGACCCTCCCCCGGAACAGAAGCAGCGTGGGAACCTCGTCTTCCTCGGCGTCCAGCCTCGAAAGTGAGAGCGAGGGACATGGAAGCGAGAATGACCTCGAGTCTATACCCAAGAGGTGGTCGGGCTACTCCGCACCACAGGTGGATTTCTATGGGCCGACGGTGGGAAACCCTCCGACGGAGCCCTGCGCTCAGCCGCAGGCCCCCCGTCGGGCTCAGGCAGCGGACCTGCCGGGGATCCTGTACAGCCTCTCCAGAGAAGGCCCTTCGTTGGACAGCGACTACTCCCGGGACAGCGCGGATGACGCCGGCGACTGGACTTCGTCGCTCATGAGCCGCGTCCGCAACCGCCAACCTTTGGTGCTGGGCGACAACGTCTTCGCCGACCTGGTGGGCAACTGGCTGGACCTGCCCGAAGTGGAGAGGGAGGAGGGCGGAGAAGAGGAGGCGAGGAAGAGAATAGAGGACGGAGGGGCCGACCGACCGGACACCCCGGCTCACCCTCTCCGCCTCAGCCGCTCGCAGGAGATCTGCAAGAAGTTCTCCTTAACCACAAACATCTTCAAGAAGTTCCTGCGCGGCGTCCGACCCGACAGGGACAAGCTGCTCAAGGAGAGGCCCGGCTGGATGGCTCCCGAGCTGCCGGAGGGAGACCTCCTCAAGAGGCCAAAGAAAGGGGCTCCCAAAAGTTCGAAAGGCAGCTTCTACCTGCCCTTCTGGGCAAGCGGACAGCAGGGCAAAGGCAGGTCGTGTTCTCATCTAGCAGAAGAAGAGAAGAACCAGCAGCACCACTTCCCCCAGTTCCACCAGCAGCCGTTTGCTGGGATGTATTTGGACAGGAGACACCCAGAGACGGGTTTGGAGAAAATGCAGCCCTTGTTTGACTACAACACAGCTGTGTGGGTATGACAGCCAACAGACTGCCAGTGATGCCAAACGGAGTGAGTGACAGGTGCAGGTGGGCTGTGGGGCTTTACTGGAGGCGGGGGGTTGAATGGTTGAATGAAAGACAGACTTGGATGCAGTTATCTTCCAAAAATGAACCGATGAACTTCGGAACCCACAACGAGATGCTCAAGGCAAGATGTTGTCTGACAATCCTAAAAACCTAAATCTTGTCTGGTGCGTGTGTCTGCGTCGGTGAGTGTGTGCTGGAGAGTTAGTTTAGAGACATTTTTTAAAGACTTATGCTGCAAGTTTTGTATTATTCACCTTTCATCTTTGACGTGTGTGTGTGTGTGTGTGTGTGTGTGTGTGTGTGTGTGTGTGTGTGTGTGTGTGTGTGTGTGTGTGTGTGTGTGTGTGTGTGTGTGTGTGTGTGTGTGTGTGCGTGTGTGACTGGTTTCTACAGATGTCCCAAAAGACCGTACATCTCTCACAGAATGTCTCCATCATTACAGATCTTTATAAATAATCCACAGACATTTCACAGCTATGCTGCACGACTCCACGTCTCACTTCTTTGCATCTATGAATAGAAACACCAACTGTTGGATTGCATGGTTGAAGTTTTTATACGCGACGCTACAAACAGCCGTTACTGAACGCACTGCCACCGAACACAGTCGCAAGCTCCCTTCTGTTTCCAGATGTGGAAATTCAGGTTTAACTGAATCCGGTCTCACCCACCTTGCTCAGGGAAGGAGCCGCTCATTCAAATGGGTTTCAAAGAAGCCTCTCAGACGCCACAGCAATACCGTGCATGTCTAGTTCAAGAGATTGCACATTCAACTATGCGATTTCTCAGTAATCAGCGATGTTTGGCCTGTGGTGAGGTTAGAAAGTGCTTGTTTCTCTTCTCTGCCATGCCAGACGTGGCACATGTTGGGTCAACTGTGGGCCCACACAGAGGCGGGGGGGGGTAAAGATGGCAGAGCCAGAGTGGCCATCTGGTCGTTATGTAAAGCTTCCTCGCCGCAGCCTAAACATCCAAAAACCGGCTCGTCCAATCTCAAAGCTTTGAGCATGAGCTGATTTATCACAGTGATGTGAAATACTGTGTGAGTGCATGTACAGTACACAGCGAAGACATCACAGAGCCGTAACAGGGATGAGCCATCTTAGTCAGACAGGATTGATGTACAGAGCGTTGTGCATGTTTTTCATTCACCAAACAGCAGCAATAACTTAACATTTCATCCGACGTCAAATCGCATGATTTTGATAATTCTGCATAAATAATTCTGTCACAGAAACATTGAAACCAACAACAACACCGTGTATGTATTTAAACAACAAACTATTATCATCATAATTAACAGTTGCAGTGTTGGTTTGTTTTACTTCATGCAGCATAATAACAATAGAACATAAATAAATAATTAGCATCAGGATTCCCTCAGGACGCGGCACTGCCCGCTCAAACTCCAAAATGCTTTGTTTCTATAGAGGACCACTGTTATGCAAAGACAATCTGACACGTTAACTTGTTGCCATTATGAAAGACAAGCGGTTCATTTCACTAAACTTCGTTCTAACTGGGATCCCAGACCAATCAACAGCCAGCAGGGATTAGGCCTTAGGTCTTTGAGTGTCTTGGCGAGTCGATCCATATGGTGTTGTCTCAGTATTCAGGTCAATACAAACTGTACATTTATGGTCAAACACACACACACACACACGCAGGCAGAAGTTTCTGCTGAGTTTCATACATTATGTGTATGTAGATGTTTCATTGATTTCTTCCTATTTACAGTTGTCTTAAGTGTAATTTTTCTGCACTGTTGATATTCTTTAACGGGGTTCTGCGAACCTTCAGTAGTGATTCTGTGTCACGTGCACTGTGAAACTGTCAGTGACTCTTTGTAAATTAAATATGTTTTCATGAAGAAATGCTGCTCCGTGTCTTGACTTTTGTGTATTAAATAGAGTCTTTTATTGCTGATCTCCGGAGATGAGCCAAGCAATCTTCTTCCTGAGATAACTTATCAGATATCAGCATCTTCTCAGCAGATTTGGCTTTTAGCTATTTATTTTTTTCCTTCAGTAAAGTGCAGCTGCATCACTAACAGGTTCACCGAGGCCAAAAGCCAGTGAGTCACTCACTGCCTCGGCATCAAGGCTGCCGCAAATTGATTCTAAATCTGTACAAGAACTCCAGAAGGCTCTTCAATAAATAAACAACCGCAACATGAACCGTGCAGCCCGGCAGTTTATCAGCGGCTCTCCGTGACACTAAACCTCTCAGGTGCTTTCTGTGAGACGCACATCAGTCAGTTCATCTCTGAGTCCCCGAGCACTTTGCGAGTGCATTTAATTACATCGCCCCCGTTGAAGTTTGCAGGGTTTGAAGAAACTGTTGCTGATGTAACAAAGTAAAGTGCGATTAATCATTAATAGAGTCATCAATTAGTACATTAAATACTTCTATTAGATTCGGTCAGCTATCAAGCAAAACTGGCAAAAACTTTGCCAAGTTCCAACTAAACAGGCAAATAAATGATCTTTTTCAATCTTCTCTGTGTTGGCAAACAACAATAATCATGTTAAGTGTTAAGTGATAGTCAGCCCAAATGCAACAAAGAGCCAGAACTATCACCTTATATTCCCCAACCTTCAGTAAGGGAAGTGAACATTTTTCCCACAGTAAAAATACAGATTATCTTCCCTCTTAACTGCTGCCAAATGTGTTCGGATCAATATTCTCTCACCTTTAACACCCTCTCACAGGAACACATTAAAACTGAGCCATAAAAGAGTGTACGTATGTGTGTGTGTGTGTGTGTGTGTGTGTGTGTGTGTGTGTGTGTGTGTGTGTGTGTGTGTGTGTGTGTGTGTGTGTGTGTGTGTGTGTGTGTGTGTAACAACAGCTGCAGATTTAGTCGCTTCTCTTCTGGCTCAGTCTCCCCTGGGATCCCAGCAGTGGACGCTGACTGCTGTCTGACCACCACCCCCCCCCATCCTCCTCCTCCTCCTCCTCCTCCTCTTCCTCCCCCTCTCTGGTCCCAGCTAGTCAGCTGTCGCTCTCTCACAGACTCACAGCGCTCCAACCCACAGATCTGGAGCACGCGATGCCCGAGTGCAGCACAGTGGCACAACTTTACGAGTCGAACCGAGGACCGAACACAAAGAAGCAGCTCATGTTACGACTCAGCGTCCAAGTGTGACTTATGGGCTCAACGTGATAAGGTGATGTGTGGTGATCATATAAAAGAAGGGATCATCTTTCTGGGGACCGGGGGGGGGTGGGGGATACGAAAAGTCACTGTATGCATTTGTGTGACTCCTTCGGATCCCACAGCAGGCCGGTTTCCTGCCAAGCGCTCGTCTTTCAACAAGTCCTCAGCTGTGGGGCCACACGGCTCCACCTTGGCCCTTAGGAATGAGGTCACATTTCACTTTTCGGGATTGTCAGCAACTAAGAGTCCAGAATCGTCTACCCGGGTGCGGCTCTTCTGCGAGGAGTTCCCACAGGAAACACGAGCCCTCTTCACACTCGCACTCGCTTAAAGCCCCGGTGGAACCCAAAGAAGTCGTTTGTAGTAACGCGCAAACACCCCCCATCTCTGGAAATGAGAGACCAGCGTTTCAAAGCCGCAAAAGCCGCGACAGATTTGGCGGGGAGATGAATGCAAGAGTGAAATCTAGGGCGAATGAACATCTGGCCTCTTTGGGGTGAAAGGCGTATCGCACCAGATAAGTCTCCCACTCTATTAGTTCGACTAATGCACGAAGTGGAACTTCACATGACACGAAACCGCGTTGCCTTAGACATCATTAACTCGGCCTTTAATGAGGAGAAAGGGGGACAGCTTTGAACCAGAAGTGCTTTAATAACGCTTCAGCGAAGGTTCAGCGCATGAACATATGCTCTTAGTCATTTTTTGCATGTGCGGTTCAACATGTTCAATGTGTACGACCATAAATAAATGAGGAAGAGTTTTAGTTATGAGGGGGGTATGTTCACTAGATGTATTTTTAGATGAATAGGGATACGCAGCAACTTGTGCAGATGTTGAATGTCCCCTCGCAAAGTATGTATGCGTTAATGACACATACTGTATTTACACATTATTACTGTTTTTATATGCATGTCAAGACTGATTTCAAGAAGCTACCTGTCACACCAGTAGTACGCACATTTACACTTTAGAGATTTCTCAAGCAAAAACACCAAACATTTACTGATGAATAATGTGAATTTGAGGATTATCTTTTCCTTTAAAATAATGGTTTTGGACCGTTCCATAACAATGTGCCTTAATGGAGAGACAATTTCATAGGACAACATTAAATGACAATGCAACCCTAATTGATATTCTAATAATATAATGTTTACTGTTTTTTGTTGTTTGAACCCGAACTGACACAACCCATTTTTTGGGGTCAGACTGCAACATGAAGCTCCGTGCACGGACCCCCCAGGGTGCAGACCATGACGGATGTGTTTAGGTGCTGTGACAGGTGAAGCTAACACACGGGAATGTCTCCGCGCTTTGATCCCCCGCCTGCCTGCCGGAATCTGAGGAATTCGGCGTGTATTTGCACAAACGGCGTGTGACGTTGCTCCGGCAGGAGTGCTGCTCTCGTCTCAGGTTGTCGGCTGTCTGACTCCAGCTGTGTCGCCACCGTCGACCGTGTAATCTTTTTGGAGGGGGTGAAGGGAAAAGCGTTGATGGTTTGCAGTTCGGGGTTTATTGTAGAGCGGAAACAGTTACTGAGTTAATTGTTTGGTGGATAAAAAGTAGCTGAATTGATCCAACATGGATGATTTACTAATCAGATCAGTAATTACAGCTTCTCAAATGTGAGGTTTTCTGTTTCATTATTAAGATCCACCATGATCCATGACGGATCTTTGGCCAATAGAACCAAGTATTATAAACATAACTTTAGAGATACAGTTCTAAGGATGATTGATAGATTCCCCTCTCGAATGTATTATCCCCAAAAGACAAAAATTCTCAGTCGCGGTGGTAAAATACGGCTGCTAATCATCTTCTCTTAATTCTATTTCTGTTACCACCCGCAGCGTGAGGCCCGCCGCCTCCCACACTGACAACATCACACGCGTTAAGTGACCATTCGCTGCCTGATCATCCCCCCCTCCCCCCCTCCCCTTCATCACCGGCGGATCGTTGGTCATCATTAAACAGGAGCTGATGAAGACTGCAGGCGGCGACGTGACCGACATGCGCTCCAATTAGAGGTGACCCTTGCTAATGGCTCCCCGCCGCCCTCTCAAAGACAAAAGGGTCAATTTTGTTGAAGCCCGACTAATCGCCTCCGATTCTCCTAAACCTTTCAAACAGTAAATAATTGAGCCTTGTGTGGTTTTATCTCTGCAGGGTGGTGCGCTGGTGAAATGGCTGTTTGAAGACACACACTGTTAAAAATCAAAGGACAAACTACACACACACATACTCCTCCACCTCCTCCACCCCTTGCTCTATTAAATTCTTCCTCTCTCTCCATTTCTGTCATTCCTGCACACACACACACACACACACGCACACACCAGGGGGCCCACCTCTTCCCCCACTTTCATTAAATCACAAACTGTGGGCCAATGGGGGCTCTTTGCCATCGTTAATCCAGATTAAACACAAATCTCCAGTTCTGACTCACACCCGCAGACAGTTAATGCTGCATAGGTCTACGTCGCTTATTTTAAATACGATGGTTTTAAGAGTTCGTTCTTTTCAGCCATTTGGTCATTTACTTATTTATTTATTTATTTATTTGGCAGGGAAAATATACGTAACCCTACTGGATAGCTAGGGCCCCATATCTGGAGGCCGAAAGTGCTGAACAGGTTATAGAGATTACAGAAAAGATGCGTCAAAACTTTACACTTAAATAATAACAATGAGAACAACCATTGCAGAACCAATCCCCGACATTTGAAACCTCTTCTCCAAGCAGACCGTATGCTAACCGTTGTCCCTGCTGTCTCCCCACATCTTCCTCCACGCCTGTCTCAATGCCGAGAGACATTTTGTTTTAAATGTGAGATGTGCACAGTGGGAGAAATGGCTGTGAATGAGTGTTAAAGTCCATTTACAGGCCAACGCAGAGTGCTGCAAGGTGTCCTTCGGTGCAACTATTATGTTGCACGGTTGAAGTTTACTTTTCAAAAGCTCGTGATTACTGAAGATCGGATGGACGGACGCACAGGCCTCAGGACTGTCCGTGGCCCAACAAAGCTGTTCACATAATTCCAAGAATCTATGGATAAATCTAAACAGAAAATGCATAGCAAAATGCAGCAGCGGGGCCATCATTCAATTTAGAAAGGTCACGGTAGGATTTATTGTCCTTGCACGGTTCTCCAAGGCTCAGCACGTTTTCTGTATATTTTAATGAGGGGACAATATAGTTTTGCAGGCATGCTGGAGATGTCCATCAGCCCTTTACTTGTTTCTCTAGAGGATACTATTTTGTAGTATTTTATTTTTCCATAAGAATTTTAAAAAATGTGTGTGAGAATTAATGTCCAATGTGGTCGCAGAAAATGAAGAATGCAAAATAACAATGTTCAAGACCATTGTGATATCTTACTGCCCCAAGGCCGAGAAAACACATCAATCAACTGGCAACAGCACAAGTAATAATGAAAAGTAACTGTTGGTCCACAGTGATACTCCGGGAAACTTGACTTCTGGATTGAAATTCAAAACAAGCGGCTGAATGTCAGCAGCAGCTTAATCCAAAACCATTAGAATGTTAACGTCTGCAGCAGATGTTTCCAGGTGTGTTTACGACAAGGATATGCACAGCAAAACAAAAAGCACTGCTTTGAGAGCAGAGATATATGTGATTTATATAGCAGGAAGAGTGATGTCCTAATCCCAAGAACCCCTCTAAAACCCTGACCCCTGACCCCCTTCGGGACTT